CCCCCCCCCTTCCATTGCTAAATAATTTCTATAACACCGTTTAAATGTTCACATAAATGGATTTAACATGTTCAAATTTAATTGCCCCTTTTTTATCATAAGAGAATAATGCAGATTCCGTAGAAAACTATGCGTTTTAATTAATAAAATATGTTTCTGGTAAGGTTTTCAGAGTATGGGTTTAAATCAGCTCAATTCAGACTTACTTACTTACCTCCAATTCAAAATAACTATACTAAGTAAAGAATGAAGTCTGATACAACTATAAGGTTTGAATAATTGATGGCACCTTTAGATTATAGATCAACTTAAATGTTAAAGTCCTTCTTGGCCGAGCAAAGCATATAAAAACGTTAAATGTTTTTTAATCCCGAGTTTTTATGAAATGTATTTTATATTTTTATCCCCGAATAATAAAAATTAATCTAAACAATCCTGAAACTAGGTTCTCTCCTCTCCTGTAACCAAAGGAGCGAAAATTCAGAAAATTCGACGCTTACTCCTCCTGGCGGAGAAATATATAATGTCTGTTGAAGTATTGTTTAACGGAAAGCGAACTATTCTCCCTCATGCTTCGACGTTCTACGGTCGGCCACTAACGATTAAAGTTCGAGTGGAACCACAAAAAGAAGAGTTTGACATAGAATCCCACACCAATGAGTCAGTTGGTTTGGTCAAGGTAAACCAATGAGTCAGTTGGTATGGTCAAGGTAAACCAATGAGTCAGTTGGTTTGGTCAAGGTAAACCAATGAGTCAGTTGGTATGGTCAAGGTAAACCAATGAGTCAGTTGGTATGGTCAAGGTAAAAAAATTCAACCGATAAAATGTTTAGATGCTGATTTTCTCCACATTAAGTTATTGTTTTTGAGATTTGTTTCCATCAAAATAATAATAATAAAAAATAGTTTGCGTCAACCTTTACCCTAGCTATGGAATAGGCTTTAGCTCCCGCCCATTCAGGTTCTAATGCATTGTACAGTCTCAATAAAATGACTTTGAAATGGACTGTTCGTGTAATTTTGAGTAATCCTTCGTGCAAAGTTGGCAATGCCCAATTCACAGCGGTACACTTTAAAGCTTTGCCTGTTGAAGCTTTGCTTTTTCATCCTTGAATGGATCGGGTCACTTGTAATTACGCTTTACAGTTCCTTTAAGTTTGTATTTTTTCCCTGTAGACGAAGATTGCGGAGCGTCTACAGATATCCATAGGTTCTTTAACTGCAGTCAGTGTGGACTCAGGTAAATGGGACTAGAACGAGGGGGGGGGAGGTTATAAAATTCTTCATTTAAAAAATGACGTTTTTGGATAGCAAGGACATAAGTTTATTAATGAAAATTAACTAACTTTTGTTAGTAGATCTTAGCTCTAATTTCATATTAGGGCTGTAGCTTTTTTTTCATACTTTTTAAGGAAAACGAAGGTCCCCCAAGTAGGATGAAATTTAAACTATTTTCTTGTATACAACTTAAAAGCATTTGATTATTTTACGCATTTTTTACATTGCAGGAGAAGACGAAATTCTACTTGAGAGTGGGAGAGGGAAGGACTCCAGACTTGTCAGTTTTGTCGGAGACTCCCAGGGACAAACATGGAAGGTTAGATTAGAACTTAAATTAAATCTTAAGATCAAGGGATTGCTTGAGGCTTAAAATATGGAGTTGTATTTCGATTTTTAAACGGAAGTTTCCAATTTGAGTTTCCAAGTTTATCAAGTAAAGAATTGTAGATTTTTTAATGCCTTCCTGCAATTTCAGCATCTTTGACAAGATATATTACTTTATCCTTTTTTTGGGCAATAATTTTTCTTGTTTCCGTGAATATTGAATTAAAAACTTCACATAAACCTTGACTTCTTAAACTATAGCATGCATTTGGGTGACACCTGTCATTGCCTTGTATGTTGGCAGACATTTAGACTTGTTACCTTTGTAAAATAGATGACAATGTCCTGGGATTCACAACACTACCCTTGAAACCATTATCTGATCAATAATGTGGAAGATATTGTCGTTTTTCTAGGTTTAATTCTGATAATTGCTTTCTTGTTTTCCTGCGGGCAGTAGAAATGTGCAAGTCTCTTTTGTATAGAAACCACAATTGAAAATATTTGGTTTTCAAAATTTTAAGCTTTAATATCTAGTTCATACTTGACCAGAGAACGCTTATAAGGGTGCTGTTGTGAATCGGGCATTGCCATCTTTGCATGAAGAATCCCTTGAAATCACGCTTACAGTCTCTTAAACTTTCAAGGAATGGTGGTTGACTGGTTATTATAAATACTATTATGAAGGTGAAGACCCTGAGTTCAAGTTTAGCTGGGGCAGGAGGTGGAGCTAGTAGTTCCACATCAATAGTTCTATTCCAAGGCGGAGGAGGTTTCGGACCTGCCGTTCAACCCTCCGCTCAGGCAAATGCTTCCGCCGCGGTAGAACCAGAAAATACAGATAAACCAGTTACAGGTAATTATAAACAGCTTTTTCATCGTTGACATTTTTTATATGGTCGTGAAAAAAAAGCTGGAGTTTGTTAAAACAGGACAGACAGCACGAAAGAATTATTCGAATGTGATGAACTAAAATTGTGATAAATTTAATGATCGTTTACAGTCCATGACTTCGATTAACTTATAGTTGAACTGATTGATTGATTAATTAATTGATTGGTTGATTGTCTAGGTAAAAGTTTAACCAGCTGTCGGGGGCAGAATGAACGTGAAAAGGAGATTAATTAATTGATTATTTGATTTATTGATTGATTGTCTAGGGGAAAGTATATCAAGCTGTCGGCAGTAATATGATCGTTTTGATTGATTGATTGTTTAGTTAGGGGATAGTATATCCAGCTGTAGGCAGTAGTATGATCTTGAAGAGTTGATTGATTGATTGATTATTTAGGGGACAGTGTATCCAGCTGTCGGCAGTAATGTGATCTTATCGATTGATTAATTGTCTAGGGGATAGTATATCCAACTGTAGACAGCAGTATGATCTTGAAGAGTTGATTGATTGATTAGGGGATAGTGTATCCAGTTGTAAGGCAGCAGTATGAGCCGTATGAGCGTGAAAAGGAGATTAATTACTTGATTGATTTCTTGTCTAGGGGACAATATAACCAGCTGTCGGCAGTTGTATGATCTTTAAAGATTGATTGATTGATTGTCTAGGGGATAGTATATCAAGCTGTCGACAGCAGTATGATCTAGAAGAGGAGCGAACACTGCCTGGAGTTCTAATAGCAGCAGATCCTAAGATATTCCAACTTCTTTACCAGGGATAGATAGATAAACAGACAAACAGATAAATAGACAAACTTCAATATTTCCGTGAAGGATGTCGTGCAATAGTCATGAAGTCTCTTTTAACCTCTTGGTTTGGACGGTCAAAATAAGAATAAATCACTTCCAGAAAGAATGCGATCGTCATAAAGTTTTGAAATCCACCAGCAGAAAAAAGTGATCTGCGAATTTATTTCTTTTTATTGGTTAACCCTGTACTATCTATCTATCTATCTGCTTGAAGTTGGCTAGTATAGAGGATTCCTCCGTCCTGGCAGGTATCCGCCGTCTGATTCATCTTATCCCGGCGGACGGAGATGTAGGACAAATCTTGGAGAGTATTGGACATCTAAACCATCTTTCAGGGGCAGATGCTAGCCCTAAAATGTCACCAAGGTAAAAATATTTAGAAATCAACCCATTTTTAGTTAAGGTATATATTTTAAACGTTGCGTATGTACACATTATTAGGACTGCTTGGAACTAGTTCAGTTTGTTTTTAATCTTTGTGAAGAAACAATCTCAAGAACTGACGAGGGTCAACCCAGACCGAAATATATTTTCAATAAATGTGAAACTTACATCTACTTTTTTACTCTACAGAGGTTTGGTCCATCACCATCACTGAATTTTAGTTCAATCATAACAACAAAGTATATAAACTAAGGTCTAAATTTTTTAGACAGGGTGTGTTTCCTTAAATTTTTGTTTTTTTACCTATAACCATTTATATATTATGAGAGTAAAAGCAAGCATGGGCGTACTCAAATTTGTGCAAGGGGACCTTATTTTTTTATTCTTTCCAGGGGGGCCATAATACCTCCTGAAAAGCAAAGACTTAACTGATTCAGGGGGATGAGTCCCGATACCCCCCCCCCCCATGAGTACGCCTCTAGAAGCAAGGAAACGGGGATCGGGTTTGTACTTTGTATGTATACTGAGAAGTGTTAGTCTATGTTACCCCCGGAATACCCCGGCTATAGTGAACATACATTCGAATGTTTTAGAGGATATGAAATCCTGGAATCCTCATCTTATTGTATCTAGAAGCAATAAATGTACTTCTAAAATGTCTTGTTTTACCATATAGAAAGATAACAAAGCTTTAAATCAAGGCTCGACTGAGAGCCGGGCCTGTGCAATCATTGTTTTCTTAATGTTGTTGGTTAACAATGAAACTATTTCTACAAGAGAGGTTCTTAATTCAAATTAGAAGATGAAGGTTGTTTCTAAGGTCGACTAAAAAAGTAGCACTTATTTATATGAATATATAATATCTTCTTTCAGAATTAAGAAATCTCTTTTGACGTCCGGGAATTCTGAAGTTTTGGAGAAAATATTAGATGCTTCTGCACCCAGTATGACGCCTTTCAGGGTTCTATATAATTTAGAGGTAAGCATGGTTTGTTTTACATTATTATCCTATGAGTTCCAGGTAAATGTTTTCACAATGTTTGCGTTTTAAGAAAAATATTGAAACCATTTTTCAAGCAACGCGAAAAAAATCCCAATGTTTCTATCAAGCTCCCCGATCAAATTTAAGGCAATCGTTTCAAATATTTATAATAACTTAAGTTCATATTGATTTCGAAATTCTACGAAAATCATTTTTTACAAATTTTTTCACAAAACCCTGTAAAAAAAGTCCTTTCTCACTTTTCCGAATTTTTTAATTTTTATGGAAAGGGGGAAGGGGGATAAATAAACAATTACCTTTATTTTCCAAAAAGGAAAGAATACTTAAAGAATTTTTCTCCTTCATGTTCAAAAATGACTTATTTTAGGTCTTAAGTAGTCGAATCATGCCCAGCACGCTTCCAAACCGATCATCGGCTAAGTTCGGCGAGGATTTTGTTCGAACCGGCGGTCTTCGACAAATTCTCAATGTCCTCGATAAAGACGCTCTGCCCTTCGATGTGGATTACGATATTCGTCAGTCTGCGTATCTGATAGCGCTGCAGCTTGCTGGATACTTGCTCTGTGGACAGACGGTGCTCCATGATGAGACGAGCTCTATGGCGATCTCAAATCCAGTGGCAAGTCCCAACATCAGGCCAACTCCACCAAAAAAGACCGCATTAGGTATGACATTTTTTATGACACAAATTATTTGTAAAAGCCAGTTATTTCAAGTTAAAATAACATTTTTATTTGTGTACAATGTACATTACATGTTTTTTCCAAGTAGCTTAGATGCAGAATCACTAATAAAATAAATGTCAATTATTTACAAATCTTTAGATCTGTCTCTACCAGAAACCAGATCTCCGTTGACCCTGTCTGCCAGCAAGATTGTACAAACTATGCCTGAGGTGTGTGTTATGCCCTTATCTCTCTGATGCTGCCAATGTGTTAAATATATTTTTTTTATATTTTTTGAATTAGTTTATTTGATGTTCAAATGGACTAAAACCCCCGTTTGTGAACAGCTAATATTTTATTTTCTATTGAACGTTAGTTCAATAGGCTGTTTGTCTTAACAATATAGCATCAACTCGTTAATTACTGAATGAGTTTTGATTTTTAGGATTTTTTCTTATATAAATGTTGCATTTAATTTGCTACTTCATAATTTGTTGCTGGTGCAAAAAGGATTTGACATTTTCAACGTAATAGTTTCATCCTTGGCCGTAGAGTGTAGTCTAGTCTAGTCTAGTCTAGTCTAGTCTAGTCTAGTCTATTTCTAGTCCTATGTCTAAGTTTAATTCGAGTCTAAGTCAGTCAAGTCAAATTCTTAGTCAAGTCTAAGTCCAGGTATCCTGTTTGGAGGGGCGTACCAGGGGGGGGGGCTGGGTGCAATATTACATCTGGAGATTTGTTGGAAAAAAACTCGGATTCTTGATTTTGGAGGCAGTACTTTTGAAGCTTTTCATTATCTTTTTTTAAAAATCATGTTGTAAAGGAATTGTGTTTATGTCACAAACTATGATTTTCTAATCCCTATATCTTTGCAATCCAATGTTGTAGATCCTAGATATTTTAAACTATGAATTCTGTTAGATTTAAAAATATAAGTTTGAAATATCAAAGGTTTACACCATCAGGTGGACAAAATATAGGTATTAGAAAAAGACTAAATTCCTTTCTTTTTTCATTTTTTTAAAGTTCACAAACCTACAAAGCAGTTCAATAAATATAGAATTAATTAAAAGGTTTAAAGTGACTGCAGACATAATATCAATTCTGATTCACAACAATACCCTTCAAAGCTTTGTCTGATCAAGTATTGCATTAAATATCCATGCTTCCCTTTTTGAAAACTGATTATTTTCATTTGTGATTTTTCTACAAAAGTGACTCATGCATTTCATTTGCTACATAAACTATTGAGAAATAAAGGTTTCATAGGTACATAGGATATGCCACTCTATAAATGGAGGGTCACTTGGAATTACGCATGTATTCCATTTAAGTACAATTACATCATATAAAAAAAAAATACTTTAAATCTCGCTTTGCCCTTAACTAAAAAAGTTTCATTAAAAAAGCTTCGATCAATGCTGCCTTCAGTGTAAATATAGATTTGATATCATTTTTTATGTAATAAATCCTATGAAAATATAGATATTTTTTAAAAACGTTTCCATCTCTTTTTTTTCTCCCCTGAAGCTTCCACCATAGTATTAAAAGGGAGTGTCGAGTCCACTTGCAATATGGAAGTGTGTATATGTTCGAATAGTTAACTTGTTAAAAAAAAGGTATCAATATTTTTTCTAAAAAGATTTTTTAAAGGAGGGCACCAAAAAGGTCCCCCCCCCCCTACACGAATGCTATCGTACGCCCCTGCCTGTTTGATGTTTAGTGTAGTATAATAAAGGCTAATATTTAATAGGTTGAGTTTGTTGAGCTGGTGTCCTGTTTGATGTCTTGTGTATTATAATGAAAGCTAATATATAACAGGTTGAGTTTGTTGAGCTGGTGTCCTGTTTGATGTCTAGTGTATTATAATGAAAGCTAATAAATAACAGGTTGAGTTTGTTGAGCTGGTGTCCTGTTTGGTCCGAGTAACCTGGGCATCTGCTGCCGGTAAACTGTTCCTTGCTTCTATGGGGATACAGGTAAAATTGAAATGTGGATTGTCCTTCAGTAAGGATAATTTCTCCATCAAGCATGCTGCATTTATCCATCTTTCAAACTATTTAATGTGTCATCTATTATTCATTCATTTCATTATTCATCTCTTTCAATTGACCTATTCATTCATCTATCTTTTAGTCTCTGTATTTATCTATCTTTTATCTTTTTTTTGTGATATTATATTTCTAAATACAATAAATCTTTATGTAATAAAGCCTTTATTTGATTTTATTTGATTTTATTTTTAGTCTGCCCCACGACCTGAGCGTGTTTATATTGGTCGAAGGAGCCGTGATAGTTCTACAGGGAGCAGTGGATCCCTAGGGAGTGAAGGGAGTACTGAGCAATCCCTCCATGCTGGTGTTTGTGCTCAGCAGCAGGAGGTGTCACCAGCTGACTGTCAGATTGCAGGTAGAGTACCCAGGCTTTCATACAGTGGGACCCAGAAAATTTTGAAATATGAAATCTTGTGTATATTCTATGTTGTTACCAAGAAAATTATTTAATCAGTAGCTTAAATAATACACACCTGAATCACCTAGTGTTAAAACACCCACGTGTCAAAACACATAAATTTCATTTTAAGGTAAAAACACCTTAGTTTTAACTAAGACAGAAGCATCAAGGTGTTTTGAATGTTCGTGTTTTGTTTTTGGGTGTTTTGAACACATTCTGTCAGATTGATCAATAGTTTTTATGGAAATAATCTAATGTTCAGGTGAGGCTCTTGAGTTGCTTGTCACCTGCTTGAGCTTACGACAGAACCTACTGCCCCGGTTCTACAAGCTCCCCTCTGTCAACGACTTCATCATAGACACAGTCCTTGGCTCACCGGCAGCTACGGTCAGACAAAGAGCTGTTAGTCAGTTTCTCAGGTGAATATGGTCTCAGTTGAATAAGGGAGGGATTGCTATCATAAAAATATGTAATTATCACCGCACAAAATGGTTTGCCGCGGGTGCGCACAAAAATGTGTAATCATTTGCACAGCTAATTAAATTTCCTTTAGTAAATTTTGTTTCCTAAATGTTGCACGGTTCATTAAAATACTTATAAAAACTTCATCATTTCAAGCTTGAAATTATTATTCTACTAATCAAACAAACTATTAAATATTTAAATTGTTTTAATTAGGTTGACTAAGATCAAGGTCGTATCACGGAATCTCCTGCTTTCCGATGCCAGCGGAGATATCAGAGATCCAAAACATTTTCTCACAAACCTTCTGATAAAAACCCCGGTCCCTCTTTGGATTCCTAGCTGTAAATCCAGGACAACTAGCCACCAGATCATGAGCAACTGTGGTGAATATTTGGATCTTCGATGTGAACTCCTGAAAAATCTTTCCTTGGACGACCAGGAGAGACTGAATGTGAATGCCAAGCAGATGATAGAAGATGAAATTAATTGGCTTCAGATGTTCTCCCCTTGTAATAGGATAAATGATAGTGCATTACTAGCTGGGCATATAAAGCTGATTAGATCATTACTAACATGTGAAGGAGTTTCTAAGGAAGAGGTGGGTAAAACATTAATAGAGAGTTTAATCTGTCTTCATCTATTTCCGGCCAGTAAACTAATCAGTGAAGGAGGTCTCAACAGTAACTGTATCTCTAGCAAAGATATCAGTCCCTTGCTGGATACTGAAGAGTCGAGGCTAGCAGCCTACTCTCTACTTCAGGAGTTAGCTCAGGGCTCTATTCCTAATTTAGATCTCATTTCAAAGATGTTGATTGATCTTCATCATCAGTTTGATTTAAATCTTGTGAAAGAGCACATGTTTGAATATGAGCCCGCAATAGAGAGAAGAGCCGACTGCAACTATGTTGGTTTAAAAAATGGAGGTGCCACATGTTACATCAACTCTGTACTTCAACAGCTGTTCGCCGTTCCGGGAGTTGCGGAGACATTGCTGGCGATAAATCTTGACAAGGTAGAGGAGGATTCTGCCTTCTTCCAGTTACAGGCTGTGTTTGCTCATCTGCAGGAGTCTAAACTCAAATATTATGTTCCCGACAAATTCTGGACATGTTTCCGGTTATGGGGTCAGCCTGTGAATGTGCGCGAGCAGCAAGATGCTTGCGAGTTTTTTATCCAAGTTGTTGATCAGGTTGATGAGTATCTCCATTCGATGAAGAAAGAAAAAATCTTTTCTAATCTTTTTGAAGGAGTTTTCTCTGACCAGAAAATTTGTGAAGGATGTCCTCACAGATATGAGAGAGAGGAGAAGTTTATGTCACTAAATCTGGAAATCAAATCTGGAAATCTGGAGGAATCCTTGCGTCACTATGTGCAGGGTGAGCTGCTTGAAGGAGATAACGCGTACTTTTGTGAGAAATGTGCACAGAAGAGGAATACGGTCAAGCGGATGTGCATACGAAAGCTTCCCTCCACCCTGGTAATACAGCTTAAGAGGTTCCACTACGACTGGGAGACAAATAGATCTATGAAATTTGATGATTACTTTTCCTTTCCCCGAGTGCTGGACATGGGTCCGTACACTGCTGAGGGGATCTCAGCTCAGGAAGACAAAGATAACCTCCAGGCGAAGTTAAGTCCTGGTCTCTCTCTACAATCCTTCTCCAGAAATATCAGTGTTAACTTTGATCTCGTTGGAGTAGTTGTGCACAGTGGACAAGCTAATGCTGGACACTATTATTCATTCATAAAGGAGAGAAAAGGACATTCTGTTGTGAATTCCAACAAGAATAAATGGTTTAAATTCAATGATACAACCGTAGAAGAAATCAACATGACAGATGAAACTCTTGAGGCAGAGTGTTTCGGAGGCAAATTCAGAACCAAGAAGAAGGAGGGCAGCAATCTGCCGGAAGAACGACAGAGATACTGGAACGGGTATATCCTGGTTTACGAGGCAAGAAATGAAAACAAGAATCAAAGAACTCCTAAAAAAAGTTTCTGCGGTGGATCCTCAAGAAGATCCGTTGGACCTGCAATGGTACGGCGATTAACCCTACCCTCCCGTATATCTGAGCCTGGAGGGCGGGGGGTAGAGGGGGGAGATCTCCTGGTAAGGGAGAGCTTGAGTGAGTTGTCCAACCTGCTAGAGAAGGGAGAGAAGCAGGGAATATTCAGCAGTAAGATGCCTCCTCTTATAGGTAAGGAAACTGGGTTATTTTTAATATTGGTACATGTGCCGTTCGCTCCCTTCCCCTCCCCCCCCTCCCCCCTCCTTCTGCAAAAAGAGATATCTTCCAAGTTTATTTATCTATCTTAGCCTAACCTAAAAAACTAAAGAATTGTTAAATCTTAAGTTTAAGTTTAAATGCAGCTCTTGACTTAAATTAAACCTTAACTTAAAGCTACAGTTAAAATATTTAAATCGACGAGTGAAATCCCCGCAGTTCATTTTTTTATCAATCAAAAATAATTCTCTTGAAAAAGTGGCATATGTTTTTACAGTAAATTTTTGATTGAATTTTTGTTTATTTAAAGAACTTTTAAGCATTAACTTAAAAATCGCGCATTCTTTAGTTTGGGACTAGTATAATTTAGTATAATCACGGGAGGTAGATCTTTTTTGGACTAGGGGAGAAAAGTCTTAGTTGATTTTAAGAATGATATGATATGATGAAGTCGCTTTATATGGTTTTAAAATCAAAATAAAGAAAACTATAAGAAAATCAAAGAAAACAACACATCTTAAAATTTAATGTCTGAAGAGTTTAGCATGAAAAGGATTGACTAGTTGTGTGTGGGTGGAGTTACTGTTACTGTTACTGTTACTGTTACTGTTACTGTTACTGTTACTGTTACTGTTAATGTTAATGTTAATGTTAATGTTACTGTTAATGTTGCTGTTGCTGTTGCTGTTGCTGTTGCTGTTGCTGTTGCTGTTGCTTTACTGTTACTGTTTTTGTGTTTGTTTTGTTATCATTATTTTCATTTTTAAGGTTTCTTTTCATATAGGTTATTATTCTTATTTGTTTATTTGTCAAGGTTTGTTTACAATCTGTGTACTGTCAATATATCTGGAAGTAGAAGAGAATCCTTCCAACCAACTCTGCAGGAATAATGAAGAACTAATTATCAGATACTCGACTCCCTCCCCTTATTTTGTTGGAAATGTCGAACTATTTTTCAAAAAAAATTAAGACACCTTTTTAATATTTTAATATTCTTTTCGTCTAAATAAGAAAAGGTTAATTTACCGACCTAACATGTTTTTTCATAATTGTAAATTAGGAGGATATATCAATGGATGTTGATTCACAAATTCAGGTAAATTTGCAAAAAAACAACCTTTGCCTGATCAAACATAAGAACTTTCCTGTTTTTCAATTTGAAAATTGTTTATTTTCTATTGCGGTTAGCTAAAAGTGACTCACAGATTTATACAGAAAAAGAAAAGATAGAAATACATCCTTTATAATTTATCTTATATTAAATGAAAAATATCTTTGATCTGAGAAAAATATTCGCATAATTAAAGACAACTTATCAAGAATACAATTTTGCTTTGTATTTGATAACTTAATTTTTTGTGAAGGACATTTAACTCCATAACTTCCACGATAGTTCGAAACGATGCCATCATTACAATAAACTTTAGATTTTTCAAAAAACAATTCCCAACTCTTTCTAACTAGAATTACTTCATTTTCTTATTATACTTCGCCAACAACTTTGACATAATCAGGAGTTCGTTCTATATTTAAAGAATAATTTAAAGACATTTAATATATAAAATGAATATTATTAAGATTAATAACACGTGTACTGTGTAGGAGTTGTACACGTGTTCTCTCAGATTAGCGGTCAACTTCTTCCTCAATACATACTGCCATGTCAGAAGGAGAAGAAGGTTAATATAACACGTTATAACTGTCTTGGAAGATTTCCAATTAATGATTAATGATACCTGAGATATTCAAGGATACCTGAGATATTCAAGGATACAAGAGATATTCAAGGATACCTGAGATATTCAAGGATACCTGAGATATTCAAGGATACCTGAGATATTCAAGGATACCTGAGATATTCAAG